CTCACTTATAAAATAAAAAATTTGAACTAAAATATTTCGACATGCTTCCCAACACTTTCATTTTCCTGACTAAATTATAAACGATTGGAAATCATAGTAACAGTGCAGACTAGCACATTATTTCCTACTGAACACTTCATATTGAAGAGATTTGGAAAATATTTTTGAAAATATGACGATTATATCATCATTAAAGTCTTAAAATATATTGTCAATAACTATAACTTAGGTATGGGATAAAGAAAGTAATAAAATGGCGAAATTTTAGTTTAATTTTTCAAATTTTCTTTTTTAAATCTTTTTTTTTTCCTATAATTCTCTATTAAATTTACAATTCTTTAAAAAATTTCCAATTTTTCTCTTTCATTTTATTTTAATACTAAAATAATTAATTATTTTTGCATAATTAAAAATTTCTATTTTTTTTTTTTGTTTCCATTTTTTTTTATTTTAAAATCAAAATTAATATAAAACATACAGCATGTTGATTGTAATAATTAAAATTGCATTTATTAAGACATGCATCTGGCAAATGTCGATCCATGCAACATTCCAAAAATGCTTCATTTGGATCCTAAAATTGCTTGAAATTTTAAATTTAAGAACAATATGAAAATATTGAAATTTTAAATTTAAATTTATATGAAAGGAATTAATGTGATGTATAATTATTGTAAATAAAATCCATACAATCAGCTCATATGATTTATGCTAATTATTCGGTATTAACTGAATTGTAAACAATATTTACAAATGAAATACATTAAAATAAAATATTGATTAATACTGCTAAAAATAAATATAAATTAAAACTTTAAAATATTAAAAAATTTTAATTTTCTAGTAATTTAAAAATCCTAAATTTAACTATATTAAAGTGCAAAAAATCATGTATTTTACAATTAAGAATCCTAATATCATCAAATATATTCTTCAATGATATAATTATCATTTTTATCATGAAAGTTTTTAAATAATATTTATAGCTATCTAATAAATTTAAACTATCTTTAAATAATTTTATGTGAAAGAATTAATGTGAGGCATAATTATTTATTACATAAATTATTTATTATAAATAATTTTTATGCTTATAAGTTAATTTACATAAACTATAGAATAAATTTGTAAGTTCAATTTATGAAATTGTATTACACAATCTTACAATGCATGCATTTGTGCATGCTAAATAGTAATGCAACTTTTAGCATAAGCAATAAACAATCAATAAATTAGGTATAATTTATAATTCAAATAATATTAACTCATTAATATTATAAGCTGTAATTCAATGAATGAATATTCAAAATAGTTAATCAAATTTAAATTAATTAAAAGTAATAACCAGAAAGGATAGTAATTTACCTGAAATGTTCGTCCTTTCATTGGAAGTTCAGCAGCTGTTGGTGATGCCATCGCAAGCGCTCGTCGTTCATCCATCACTTTTAATGATACGGTTTTCCTGCAAATTAATTAATTAATTAATATTAATGAATTGATAAGAAAGGTAATTTCTAATTTTAAATATTGCAGAATTAAAATTTTTTAAATTATAATTAAAATAATAATAATAATAATACCCAAGTCTAAATGGTTCCAATGGAATAAGCTTTGATGATTTCTCAAGTGGTAATTGTAAACCATTTAATCGCTGTTGACCATTATCTAATGATGATAGCCTCATGTTTTTAGATGCTTGAGCTTTAAGCTTATAACAACCATATTGTCCACAACCATAAGATGGTGCACAATTGCAAACCATCGGATGTGCTACAGGTGCTGGTTGACAGTATACCATTCCACCGCAAATTCCATTTGAATAACACTACAACAATTTAATTAACATCACTTTGAGACAACTTTAATAATTATTTATATCCTTTAAAAGAAACAATGCTTTTGCGTAATTTTTTTATTTGAAATTAATTCGACCGTGAATTAATTATTCAAAGTTAAAATTAATTCATAATTAATTATAAATTAATTGACATATTTGGAATAAATTTAATGAAATTTCACTTGCTAATAAATTTTCAACCTTATAATTTTATAAATTTAAAAAGATGCAACAACAACAATAATATTTTTTTACATAGCAACTTTCACTTCCATTATAAATTATAAATAATTCATTAATTATGCAAATAGTTTGTAAAATTTCAATTCGTTATTAAATATGAAATATTTAAATAAGGGAAAAAAGATTAAAGTTCATTTTAATAAAAGAAAAAAGGTCAAAGTTAGGAGGAAAAAAAACGAAACAGATAACTTACCGCAAGAATAATTGGTGGCAATGAAAGCACAAATGCAATTATGAAACTTTTCTTAATGATATTTGTTTGTATTCCAAATATATCTAGCATTGTTTATTAGCTGAAATTGAAACAACAAAAAAAGACAAATTAAATTAATAACTTTGAAAAATTCAAATTGCTAAAAGATGAAATTAAAGAAAAAATACCAATCAATATTTTTGTTATTTGAAATTTAACGAATATCATTGTTTGGTTAGATTATAATTTATTATTTATTTACTATTATTTATAAAAGTTAGTAATTAAAATAAACAATAGTAGTAATAAATACTATATTTATTTACTATTTTTTAAAACTTTTTCCAATATGTTATTATCATTGCAAATAAACATTTGTTATGAATGTTTAATGAGAGAAATTTACATTTAATGATATTAACAGCTCTAAAGTGAATTTTCATCCTATCAAATATATATAATCAAATTAATTAATTGCGAATAAATTTGAATAAAATTTTGATGAAATTTTGGCAACTAAAAGATAAACAAATTAATATGGAAGATGACAAAAGCTGTTGCTGTTGAAGCATTTGCTATATTACTAAAAATTAATTATGAGAAAATTAATTTGAAATAAATTTGATAATGATTTATATCCATTCCAAATCATTTCATATTCATTGAATGTGAACTATAGTTATTACTTATTTTTACCTTAGTTACTACTACTTATTACTTACTTTACTAACTTATTTTACTCACAGAAACAAAAAAGATTCATATCCATTCCAAATCATTTCATATTCATTGAATATGAATCATAATTATTACTCACTTTTACCTTATTTATTATTTACTTTACTAACTTATTTATTCACAGAAATAATAAAGATTCATATCTATTCCAAGTAATTTCATATTCATTGAATATGAACGATAATTATTACTTACTTTTTTACCTTAGTTACTACCATTTATTACTTACTTTGCTAACACTTATTCATTCACAGAAATCCAAAAAAAGAATGAGTAATAATAGGTTGTAGCTATTAGCTTTAAACTTAATGAATTTTAAAATTTCATTAAACAATTTAAAACTTTCAAACCCATCTAACAAATACATGTGTTAGAGAAATTGTGGAATATTTGCAGAGAAAATAAACAAATACGAATTTTGTTTAATAATTTTTGCTTAAATATAAAATATAAAATAAAAAAAAAAGATTCATGGATAATTGCAATCAAAGAGAAATAATATATGACATCAACGGTGCAAATGTGACAATCATATAATTATTATGGTACCACAACAAAAAAAAACGAAGGTCTCACCACCTGTTTTTTTTTAAAGGTACCATTATTTGAAATTAAACAAGCTTATAAAGTAAATAAAAAAATTGCTCGATTTATTTATTTCTACAAATAAATCAAAAATGAAATTCAAAAAGATACAACAAAAAAAAAGAGAGAAATTAATTTGCAACAGGTTTTTCATATAATTAATTTTACTATTAACATTTATCATTCATGCAAATATTGCAATAAAAAAATTTTATAATTGATAATATAATAAATTTATAGAATTTCTAAAAATTACATTCAAAAAATTTTTTTAAATAGCCGATCTGATTTTTAAAAAAATTTTTTTGTTCAAAAAACTTTAGCTTACAGCAATTACGAAATCCGACTTCACGAAAACTACAGATCTCGAAAGAAACTAACTATTTGCTTGTGTTTAGCTCCTTGC